TTGGATGCCGTGTGTGTATGCTTTTGATAGTAGCCAAAATTATTGTCCCACATTAAAATGGCAAATGCTGCATGAAAACTTAAACATCATCTTCATGTCAAAGAGACTTTAGACAGGATAAAGAATTACTTTTCAACTGCCACTCTAATTAGGATAATGAAATATGTCCTGTACCTTCCTACACACACAAAACATAGCAAATAAATCTAAAACGAGTTGAAGTTTTCTTTGTCGTTTAGCGTAACTGTGGTAAATCAGACGGTGTTTCATTGTCTCCGTAAACAGAGACGACAGACTCTTTGGATGCCGTGTGTGTCTGGAGACTCACCACAGTGGAAAACCATGTGCAAGGGTGGCCTGTTCATCTCCCACTCCTCAACCAACATGGAAAACCTTGAGCTGACAGAGTGCTCTGTCAGCACAAAAGAACCACATTTCCTGAACCTTTAAACCTCCGTTTTTTAACAGGCAAGAACTGTAGTTTCCACATTGGTAAATTCTGTGTCCCTGTAGTTTAAATTCCTTGAATCGCCACCTTATCATGGTGGAGGAGTTTGTGCACCTGAATGATCCTAGGAGCTATGCTGTTGGGAGCATTTGTAATTGTCCCTGGTGGGGTCTCTCAAGGCAGATTGGTCCTAGGTAACAGGCCAGACAACGAGCGATTCAGAAGACTTATATGGACAGGAAAAAACAAGGAAATCAGTGTCCCTTACCCAGACATGAGTTACCGGGGCCCCACCCTGGAGCCAGGCCTGGAGGAAAGGCTCGTCGGCTAGCGCATGGTGACCATCCATGGGGCCTGGTTGGGCTCAGCCTGAAGGAGCAGCATGGGTTTGCCTTCCTGTGGACCCACAACCTGCAGGAAGGGCCATAAAATTTAGGTGCATGATGCCATGGGCAGTGGCTGAAGGCAGGGACCTTGACACTCTGACCCTGGCTTACCTAAGCTGGCTCTTGTGACATGGAGCATGACCTCTCTTGTGGGGAAGGAGCCTGAGCTTCTGCGTGAGGTTGAAAGGTACTGACTAGATATAGTTGGGCTCACCTCTACGCACACTATGGGCTCTGGAGCCAATCTCCTTTAGAGGGGCTGGACCGTATTCCACTCTGGAGTTGCTGATGGTAAGAGGCGTTAAGCTGGTATGGGTCTACTTGTAGCCCCCTGACTTGGTGCCTGTGTGTTGAAGTTTTCCCCAGTAAATGAGAGGGTGGCTTCTCTTCACATTCGCGTGGAGGGGCGGGCACTGACTGTTGCTTGTGCCTACATGCTGAACGGCAGTTCAGAGGAGCCGACCTTCTTGGAATCCTTGGCTGGGGTGCTGGAAGGTATTCCAACTGGGGACTCCTTTATTCTGCTGGGGGACTTCAATGTCCACGTGGGCAATGATAGAGTGACCTGGAGGGGCGTGATTGGGAAGAACGGCCTCTTTGATCTGAGCCCAAGCGGTGTTCTGTTGTTGGACTTCTGTGCTAGTCATAGTTTGTCCATTACAAACACCATGTTTGAACATAATGTTGTCCATAAGTGCACTTGGCACCAGGACGCCCTAGGTCATAGATCGATGATTGACTTCATAGTCGTGTCATATGACTTGTGGCCATTTGTTTTGGACACTCAGTTGAAAAGAGTATCTGAGCTGTCAACTGATACCACCTGGTA